GGAGAAACAATTTTAGAGTTGTAAAGGCCAAAAGAAGATAATTGATGTGAGGTCGATAATTTCGAAAGCAAAGATGCTCATCGGCTCAAAATGGAGTACGTGCTGCTAATGTGAGGTATGCCTTTTTTTATGGTTGGCTCACATATTTCTTATTCCTTGCTTATATTCATATCACTTGTGAATAATCTATCACACGGAGTAGTTGATGAATGAGATATGGTATGATAAAAGGAAGCCCGCTTCTTTCTGCAAAGTGCTTGAGAAATTTTCTTATAAAAAAATTTAAAATCAATAGCTTGTCTCCTCAATGATATTGAATTTCCTACCAAGGCCATATGTTAGTCTCATTAAGACATTCCACATAGGCCGCTTACTTTGTGTTGAGTTTTGTTAGACCTTTGTTAAGAGATTTATCATGCTCCCAAGATCAAGATCACGTACACACCACATATACGTGCTACTTCTATATTGGGAGTACGCAAAAAACATGTTTTTTATCCGCCCAAGATGTTACGCTCCTTGCACCGCATCAGGAGAGAAGAAAAAAATATGTTTGTTAGGAATAGATGCTCCAAGCTCTTGATAATATTTCTCTCAAAAGTTTGTTGTAAAAAGAGACATGAGTTATGCAAAAAAAAAGGCACAAAAAGATCCAAAGTAAAAAAAGGTATAAAAATAAATAAAAAAATAAGAGATGAAAATAAAGATAGCCCATTGAGTTAGATCGGCCTTATATCCTTTCAGTCCGTCGTTCGCTTTATTACAACACGTTGTTTCTTACTTTGAGCGACGAGTTATGTCTCATCGGCCGTTCTATTTCGATCCTGATCGTTACATAGTATGCGTTAAGGCATGTATGATCTTGAAGAGGTTTCTTTGGCTAGTTAAATTTAGTGTATAGTTCATCATTATGGTTGTAATAATCCGTCGATCCCCACGAGATGGCACCGTAGATTGAGGATGCTAATTAGTAGATTTGTTCTGATTAGGCGTGACATTAGCTGTTTGCTATGCTTGCATCGGCTAAATAGCCGATCGCCTGTACGTCAACGCCTACAGTGTGTGTCCATGATTCTGTTAAGCATGAATAGATCTGAGTACTTTAAGGGTTTGATTTGTTGTCTTTATCATGGCTGCATCGATCCGGTCAAACCCCACAGTTAGAGATAGTAGGTTAAATCTGATGAGTGCATAGGTTTGTGCATGTGAAATAGTCAATCGTTCACACGCCAGAGTCCCTTTTTCACTGAATCGGCTTATTTCACCGATTCATCTAAGCTTCACGTATAGCATGTCTTTGGAAAGCCCGTCGAAGTATAGATGGTTTTATGGATTCTTCGTTTTTTGAGTTTGTTATTATCATCATAGTTGCCATCGATCTGGTGAACCTCACCGCTGATCGTAATGTGATTAGATTCGTGAGCGTTTGTGATCCATTGGTATTAGACAAATGATTTATTTGCATGCTATATCTTTTTCTCCTGATTAGATTCATCGGCTCAACGATTCATCCGGTAATATCTACCTAGTGATGATCTCATTTACGCTCTGTGGGCATTGTACTTATCAACATAAAACTAATCGCGATCCATAAGCTTTCTCGTCTGTAATAATCGATTTACTCGTGCGATCGGCTATTTAGTCGATTTTCCCATCTCCCGCTTCCCGAAGCGGCACACTTGAACCGCTTAGGCAAAGATCGACATGTTCCACCTTAAATTCATCGATAAACTTTCTCTCCTTATCAATTGCAGGAGGTCAAATTGACTGGCATGTCTCGGAAGGAATTAAGTAAGATCGGTTACCTCTAGCATTGAAGCTGCGGATCTCGGCTCCATCAAGCGAGATCCTTCGAGCTTGCCGGTGTGTCGCATTTTCGTGTCGACACTTAGGTAACATTCTAAAATTCTAACACCAAAATTAGAAGAAAATATGACTATATGGGTACAAAAAGTACTAGAAGTCTGAAATACTATACAAATAATTAATTTGGATTAAAAATAAAAAGGAAAAATATCTTGGACCTAAACAACTGATCGGTGATCGCAATTACGTAAGCCAAGAATCAAGATGTCGCCGTGGATGGAGCCATGCACGGTGGCCGTCCTCGTCGCCGTGTCCTGTCTCCTAGTGGTCTAGCTCTTCACGGGCGTGGCTGCATGACTCCACGTTTGGCAAAACGATGTCGTGAACTCACGATCGAGTGTGATGTGTGCGGTGACTCCTCACCTCCTCTCTACCCGAGGGCCGTGGGAAGAAAAAACTAGGAAAGAAATGTTGATGTTGTCTTTTTGGACCGCCTGCGCTAGTTTATGTCTCTCTTCTCATTAGTTTACTAATGCCTAATAGACTATAGGACACAGGGTTTGTATACCTAGGCTTGGGCCCCTCCTTCGCTTGGGCCCTCGGCTGCGTAGTCGCACCTCGTGCCCCTACCCCTAGGGCGGCACTGTTGACAAGTAGTGAGCCTAAGTGGCTTTATGAAAAGCCTTTGACGCAGCCCAATGTCATGACCGAAGGAAAGCTTGTTGACCAAGGCACATGCTTAGTAAAGTTCCAACATCGTGTCTTGGGAGTTTGCCCTTTCCTAGTTAATCTTTACTACAATAGTTATGCTTCCACTCATGTGTTTATGTGTCTATACCATTCCTAGAGTAGCTTAGAATATATAGTTGATAGGTTTGACTACAAATTGCAAAACTTTTTTTTTTATTTATTTAAGTGAAAACATTAGATAAACTTTAAATGCACATCTTGCTAGTTAAATTCTTGCATATCTTAATATTTTTTTGAATTCAAACGGGGAGAGCTTTCCACCACATTTTTATTCAAATGAGAGCTCCAGCTAATTGAAGCTATCAGGAAGTTACAAGAGAGGAGGTAGCGATGCCAATTGTTCAGGCCATTTACATCATGATCATGACTTAGGCATTGCGCCAAATTACAAAATCATCACGGCCCTAGAAATAATATCTTAATAGTTAGATTTTATATATT